ACAGGTATCCTAACCCAATCGTTAGTAACAGTTGCCGTAATACGAATATTACATAGGTGATTATCCAAATTTTCACCATCGATGGGATTTGAACACCCAACCTACTACTTGAAGGGTTGACAACCTGACCACTTCACTAGATCACCACACCCTTTTGTTAGAAATATTTAATCTTAAACAATCTAAAGTTATGTTAGTAAAATTATATTTTTTAAACAAAGTTCTAGAATAAGAATCAAAATCTAAAGCAAATTTTTCTAAATGAGAATTTTGTTGTATTTCAAATTTGAGATATAAAAATTTTTTTTATAATACTTATTTTTTTGATATGATTCAAGACATTGTAAATTAAAACCAAATAGTATTACTCCTAATAAATTATTTTTGTTATTTTGCATCAATTTCTATTCAAAAAAAAAATTAAATAACTTACTATAAAACAATAATAATGCATAGTTATTAAAATTTTTTATCTGTATAAATTGTCATGCAACATCAGTAAAGGATCTTGTACTAATTACTTTGTGCTTAATTACAGTTTTATTTTTTTAAATCACTTTAAACTTTACTTTTGTATCAATTTAATATCTTGTTTGATATATAACATTTTGTTTACAAATCAAAATATGAACTTTATATTTATCAAAAATTCAATGTCTACTTCTTTGTATTCATGATATATTTAATGTTAAATAATATCTTAGTTTTAAAATATTATATTGGTAACTATAATTATAGTTACCAATACAATATATTGTATTGATCTTGAGATAGTTGTTTTTAAGTTCTAATATATTCATATTATTTTTAAAACTATGATTTTATAATAAAATAACTTAATAACAATTGTAATACTTTCAATAAAGATAGAGGCATGGCCTCACCATTAATATTTAAAAAAAAAACAATTGTAATACTCTGAACAGATTAGTCCAAATGATCTGAAACTGATATGAATTATGATCTATAGCATATTTCTAACAACTGATAAGTAATGGATCAGTTTTGGATCATCTGGGTTATTTTAGCTAATCTGTTTGATACACTGCTCATAAAAACTAATAAGTAACGGATCAGTTTTGGATCATCTGGGTTATTTTAGCTGATCTGTTTGGTACATTGCTTATAAAAACTGATAGTAATGGATCAGTTATGAATCATTCTGGATTATTTTAACTGATCTGTTTGTTCACTGCTGATAAGTAACGGATCAGTTTTGGATCATTCTGGATTATTTTAGCTAATCTGTTTGGAGCACTACTCATAAAAACTGATAGGTAACTGATAAGTAACTCATAAGCGATTCAAAAGCAATTTTACAATCACCGACAAATAATCACTTTTAATCTTAGTAATCACACTATATCAGATATATTATTGGCTCAAATTCAATTTAATCTCAACATTCAACTTAACTAATCACGCTAGTAAGAAGTAAGAATGTTGATTTCCGTGTAACGACAAACAATCCAATAGAATAAGGACGGAGTGTACTTTGAAAATCACATGAATTTTTAAAAAATTTTTTGATAGTCCCAGTTATCGAGATTGTTTAGCATAAAATGTTAATATGTCAGCCCAAGACAATTCATCGAAAGAAGTTACTATAACACAATTATTTAGTGATGCGGAACGAATAATAAATCAAGGCGAATATGCCAAAGCTCTCAAATCTATTGATAAAAGTATATATATATATATATTTTTTTTTTAGGTTATTTAAAAGAATTTTTAATTCAACATTATTAACTTTTACTTCTATGACAAAAGTTCTCAATTTGAGTCCAAACGATTCTGATGCACTTCATTGCAAGGTTATAATTTTTCTTAAACTTGGAAAATATCAAAATGCCTTAGATCTTGTTACGAAAAATTTTTCCGAAGATCAACTCCCTCTTGAGCGAGTGTATTGTCTTTATAGGCTAAACAAATTTTCTGAGGGAGCAGAACTTCTTCGTAAGTATCGGGCTACTGGAAGTAATGATGGTGGATTAAGACACTTGGAGGCACAAGTGGTTTGTTATTATTATTATTATTATTATTATTATTTTACATATTATTTTTTGTAATAATTGATTATGCTAATTTTTTCTTTTTTTTTTTTTATTTATCTTAATAAGGCATACAAACTTGAAGATTATAATGCCTCTTTAGAAACATATTATAGTATTCTTCAGGAAACAGACTCGGTACGCGATCTTGGTTTTCAAATACAATAAAAAGATCTTTTTTTTTTTATTTAAATTTATTTGCAGAAATTTTCAATTCAAAATTATTCAGAAAGAAGATACGTATAATGATATTTTAACAAATTTTAATGCTGCTAAAGCTGCATTATTGTTTTCTGGTGGGAAATTAAATGAAAAGGTATCACACGATTTAACATTAATTAATTACAAATAATAATAGTAATAATAATAATAATAATAATAATAATAATAATGATAATGATAATAATGATAATAATAATGAATAAGTATTCAAATAAATTTTATAGTATACAATGGCAGATTCTGTTAATACTTATGAATTAGCATATAATTATGCTTGTACATATCTTGGTCGAAAAGATTTTAAAAAAGTAGAAAAATTATTGATTACTGCAAGAAGTATAGTAAATTTTCTTTTTTTTCATATATGATTAATATATTTATAATCAAGTTAATAATTATATTAGAATAAATTTTTATAGATATATGTCGAAAATCTTTGACTGAAGATGATTATAATGAAGAAGAAATTGAACAAGAATTAGGCACAATTAATGTACAATTAGCATATTTATATCAACTTCAGGGTCGGATAACTGAGGCTATTGAGCTTTATCAAAATGTACTTAAATTTAAGTAAGTTCTTTGTTGGAATTAAAATATGTTAGAATCAATTGACAAGCTTATTGACAGCTTATTGACGGTTTATTGATTTCATTTTTTTTCAATTTTGTAGAGGAACAGATATAACTGTTTCAGCCATTGCATCTAATAATTTTGTCGCTGCTAAAAAAGATAGTGAATTGTTTGACTCTGCTCGTAAATTAAAAGTTGCAAGTGCAAATACATTAGATACTAAATTGTTTAGAAGTCAACGTCGCATAATCGCGATGAATGAAGCATTATTATCATTGTATATGCATAAGGTTTGTTTATATTATCATAATTTTATTTTATTTTTTTTTAATTTGTTCGTTTCTATTAATTATCAATTATATAATTAAATAAAATTTTTCTATATTCAAATTCTATTCATTTAGTATACTGCATGTCAAGATGTTACTCGTAGGTTGCTAGAAGCTTATCCTGAAAATGATGATCTTTATCTCATTTTAGCTTCAATCTCTTATCGTCAAAAAAAGATCACAAAAACTATTCAAGAGTTACAAGAATTTGCAAAGTTAAAACCGGAATCATTATCTATTAATTTTGCTCTTATACAACTTCAACTTTTACAATCCAATCCTACAAGTGCTTTAGAAACTTTAGAAAATTATTTATCATCAATTAAAGATAATACAGAAAAATATAGGCCTGGATATGTAGGATTGTTAGTATGGCTTTATGAAAAAGTCGGTAAACCTGAAAATTCAGTTCGAGCTTTAGACCAAGCAAGTACATTTTGGAAAAGTGGGGTTATGGTAAGAAATATTATTATTAACAATTTAACATAAAAATTTAATCATTTGAACATTTAATTAAAACATTGATATTTTTTTATTCATGATAGTCTGATGAAAGTAGGTCAATTCTTAAACAAACAGCCGCATTTAAACTCAAGACCTCTCGGTATCATGAAGCTGCTCAAGATTATGAACAACTTGTAAAAGATGATCCATTAGATATTCAAGCATTAGCTGGACTTGTAGCATCATATTCTCAATATGATGTTAATCTTGCCGAAAAATATGAAAGTTCTTTACCAGATATTAGTGCATCTATGGAAATTGATATAGAATCTCTTGAAAAAGTTGTACCTGGTGTTAAAAAAAGTTATATCAAAAAAGCAGATACAAAAACAATGTAATATCATGAATATACCATATTTATTTAAAAAAGTTTATTTAAAAAATGGTAATTTTTTTTTTTTTAACTTATTCTTTAAAATTGTGAACAATTAGCGAGAAACAAAAAAGGATAACACCGAAAAAGAAAAAAAAGCGTAAACCCTTACTACCAAAAAACTATGATCCAGCCGTACCACCAGATCCTGAACGTTGGATACCAAAACGTGATCGGTCTTATAACAAGGGTAAACAACGCAAAGGAAAACAGCAATTAATGAAAGGATCGCAAGGAGTTGCGGTCGCTGGTGGAGGTATTGGAGGTACAGGAAGTGCTAATATTGCCGGAAAGAGGTTTGTTTTAATTTATTACTATTATTATTATTTATTATATTGAATTGCTATTTATGTTTTTTTTTTTTTTTTATAATAATATTAATGTTTTTGTGGTTTATCCTATTCTATTAATTCCAGCATAAGTAACGTGTCGTCATCCGAAACAGTTGTTACATCGCAACCAGAACAACCTGCGCCTGCACCTACACCAAAACCAAAAGGTGGTGGTGATAAGAATAAAAAGAAGAAAAAGAAGGGAGGTAGCAAGTGGTAAATTATAGTAATCTAAATTTTTGATCTGATTTATGTACTTTGGTTGCCTAAATGTTGAATTATTATGTGAATGAAAGCAATAGTGATTTGCTATATAAGTCTAGTTGTAATTTTTTTGTTTATTTTAGAGTGTTGAAGTGGTTTTTTTTAATATGTCGTACATATAAGATTTTTGAATACATTGAGATAAAATAGTAATTTAATTGTCAGTCTTTATGAATATTGAGTTGTACCAAATGTATTATTTATGATTCGATTGCGCTTGACGATAAATCAATAGCTTTACGGCTCGTACAATATGGTACATGGTGTTATGCTCAGATGATTACGTCACATGTTAGTACATTTAATAAGAGCCAGGGATCATTACAGTCAAATAAAGAATCTATGGTCTATTTTGATTTTTCTTTTCTAAAGAAGTGTTTTAGGATATTTAACATTCGCAATAATTATTTAGATTTTATTTAAATTTCGGCATAATTCGAAAACTTTGAAAGCAAAGATGAGAGACTGATTATAAAATCAGTACCTTAATTTAACATTTATAAAATCATCCTTGAATTCAAATGCCTGGTTGTTTAAATCATAATAGTATGTTCGGAATATAAATATTCGCATTTTGCAATTTAATTTATTTGATCAATTTAATCTAATATATTCAAAAAAAAAAATTTATATATATATGTTTTACTGCGATTTGATTTGATTATAGTAAATCACAGTAAAGCAAATATTGTGTGATTTGCTTTAATCACAGTAGATCAAAAAAATCCCTAAACGTCTGGTTAGATCGACCTTATCCTAAGGTTGACATAAATTATAATTTCATCAATATGATATTTTCATATATGTTTCGCCTTAACAGATTTAATTTCACAAGCTAATAACTTTGCAATGTCTGATTCTGGTGGTATGGACAATTCAGAAGAAATATATGGCGATTGAATTGATGACGTAATACGTGTAGGATTTCCGTTTGTCATAACTAGAGCTGTGAATTTAATTTGCGCAACGACAGCTTCACCAGCATTTTCTAGTAGAACATAATACGGTCTTAATAGACCATGTGTTACACATTCCGGAATTCCAAGACGATCTCGTGTACTTTCCAATGAACTATAAAAAAAAAAATAACATCAATAATTAATGAGAATTAAAGTGTAAATTATATATAAATAGACTTGTAAAAAAAAAAAAAAAACTCACTTTATGGAGAATGGAAAGACACTATAAGTGTCAGTAATTTTTTTAAATACTGATCTAGCAGCTTTCAATTTTAAATTATATACTTCATTAACATTCCTTTGATAAATTGTTGGCTTTAAATCAGATTCCTTGACCTATAATCATAAGATTTAATAAGGTTAATTGTGATAAAAGTCATATGCAATACAAAAAGATATTAAACTTATAAAATATATATATATATATATTAAACTTATAATATATATATATATATTAATCTTATAAAAAAAAAAATGATAATATTCACCAAACCACTACCAGTACTCATAAGCACATTGATAGTATAAACTTCATTTGAATTAATCATAAAATCATCATCCGGAAAACCATCATTTTGATTCAAAATTGCAAAATTTTCAGCTTGAAGAACATAACGACGGACTTGTTGTACAATAGATCCTTCAACCGGTATACATTTAAAAGCATTTGCAACTTGGTTTACAGCCTTGACTATATCTGATCCCTATAATATAAAATAAACTTATAGATATTTAATATATAAAATAATCATTATTATTGAACATTATATGATTTTTTTTTTTTACCCTGTTTCCAGCTTTCAATAATTTCAAAGCAACTTCGGCACCAAAATGTGCAGCTGCAACGACATCTGCGGATCGACCTTTTACGATAATAAAATGAATTACATTTCAATATATATATATAAATAATGATCGAATGATGTACCTTCTATAGGTTGTTGTGGATTTGGATTTAATATTGTAGTATGTGCTGCACTTGCAATATATCCATCAATATGAACACCTAATTCTCTAATCAAGTTAATAATAATAAGAATTTTTTTATAGATTTTTCATAAAGCTTAGTATTTAGAAAAGAAAGTCATCTATACGCACATCTTAACTAGGTCTCCATGTTGAAGAATAACATCATTTTCAGGGAGAGGAGAAAAATATTGCAAATAATGATTTACACAAATCATAGTCGGCAATGCTACACCTTTTTCAACCTTATTTTTATTGTAAACCTTAGAAGTCTATTATATAGAATTATATGAGAAACTTTTATTTCAAGTATGCTTGTAAAATATATTATTACAAATGCATACATGCGAAAAAATAAGTTGGTCACCATATTTGCATAATTCAGTAACAGACATGCCTGGTACAATTCTACTAATAATTTGTGGCAAAACAGCTATATTATTAAAATTTTCTTTTGTTAGCTGTGCGAGGATAGCTGCTTTTACGAAGCATTAAACTTTTTTTTTACCATTCACAATATCAGCGGCGCTCCTATATTTTGACAAAACAACGGAATTGCTGAGGTCATTATCAGCATTAAACTTTTGTCTATAATATTCAACTTCCATTTTTTGCTTAAAAAAAATCAATTGTTTGTCTCGAGAGAAATTTAAGTATCGTGTTCTAAAAAGTTACGAGAGTATATTATTGTTATCTGTTATCATTATCTTGTACGTACGTATGCATTATATGATTAATTTGATTGGATAATTGAATTCCTTCTAATGACAGGTTGAATGAACTTCTACATACGTAGTTAAATGTGTAATTACTGTAATAATTATGTATCAGATACTACGTATAATAATATATACGTAATTACATATACAAACAGAAATATTAAGTATACGTATAGAAGAAATAGATTTATTTATTATCTGCTACGTACGTACGTAGGTAGGTATACGTAGACACTTAACGTTAAATAAACATAAAAAATTACTAAAATAAAATAGGATGTGCAATCTACAGTAATGGTAAGTCTGATACGTACATAATTATAATAAATGGACTTAACTATTAATGTAAAAAATTTAAACTGATAAAGTGATAAGATTGCACTATAAAATGAATTCTTTACAATTTTTATTCTTTAATTAATAAGGCAACCAAGTTCAAAATTTCCTTTCACTCTAATTATTCATTAAAACAAGAATTCATTTTGGTGCATATTGCTATAAACAAACTTTAATGATACAATGCTCAAGCATAAGTATCTACTAATGAATCTCTTAGATCTTTGACGATTGCCGTCGGTTGTGCATCTTGTAATTTGAAAATGCTTTCGACCACAGATAATTCTGTTGCGGTACTATCTAATCCTGCGAATGCACACCAATCATTCACTACAAGGCCCGCCCCAACCACATCAGATCCACGATTTATCGTCCCAGCCTATCAATCAACACAGAAAAAATATATGTCAAATGTAAATATAATATGAATATCTTTATTCAATTATGAATTTTCACTTATTAAATAAATAAATACAAACCACAAGAGGAACTTGTAATAATGATGATAATTCATCCTGATCTTGAGTTGACGTACGTGGGTGAACCTATAATTGCACATGTTAAAATTAAGGTTGAAATTGAATCAAGGAAAAAACAAAAAATATAAACCAAAGATTCATGATCATACCAAACCACCTTGATTACTTATTGCACAATAACTACCAACTAGTACATTACCCGCAATTGTTTGTGTAAACACCTCGACATCTAATACATCACGAATAATTTCTTGAGTCTCTTTATCAATATCAGGATGAACGAGGGCAACATAATCGTTACAAGCAATAACATTTCCTAATGCTGAAAGACGTTCTTCAATACGTTGAATCTGAACAGAATCCGGAAGTGAATTTCGTAAGTGTTGAAGTTCTTGATCTGTCGTTGTGTTTGGGACGAGAAGTCCTTTCTTGTTACCTTTTTAGTGGATCAAATGACATAATTTAGTCCAACAACAGATTAATCAAAAGAAATTTTATTAAATAAAAAAAAAAAGAGGGGAAACAAACCTGCAGTTAGACGACCGATGATTCTAGTACCAGCAATTGATGTATGAATTACTGGAACTATATCATTTAATTCGCTTTCAAATACACTACAAGAATTTTTACGATATATGATATAGTAGTGAATTTATTAAAAATAAAGTTAAAAACGAAAAATCAAAGTAAGCAAACCTGTAGAAATTTTCCGAGCCTCCTAACGCAACCAAGCAATAAGAGTTTGTTAAACGGGAAAAGACACCAATTTCATTACTGTTTTCAAATTGTGCACCTATAAGAATGAAGCTTCTTTCTCAGTTATTAAAGTATATTAATAGAAATGTTATGGTCTATACATAAACAAACCACTTACGAATCGCCATTTTGAAATAGTTTCTAGAATATTTGTTCGAATTTTTAAATAATGAGAATTTGTATTGACTTTCTTGAGTTTTCTTGAGTTTTCTTGAGGTGTATATAAGCGATGATGATCGAACTGCGGTTCGAAGGCCGCAGGCCGTACAATTTCATATTTATGCATGGTCATACCGATACAGATGCAGATGGGTGTGCGATATACTATGTAACTGGTAAATCAGACTTATTTATATGTAGACATAATATATACGTATATATTACTTTTAACGTTATAAAAAAAAAAGCACTCTATTGCATTAAAATATGATATCTACTGAACTATTATTTAAAATATTGCAATTTCATATTAATCTATTTAACAATTTCGCGTAAGAGCTTAGTTGATATCATATTTTAATGTAATAGAACCTTTTTTTTATAACCTGACAAATAAAGACTTAAATTTTTATCGAAATCAAACTGTTATCGTAGTATTTTATTATGCATATCTTTACTAATGAATGGATTAACGTTAAAAATATACGTATTTGATTTAGTGATAAAATTAGCGTTAAGCCATTTTTTTACTGCGCTTTTCAAATTTTGCCGAAAATAATATTTTCAGTATAAATACTGTAATATCCATTATTACATTAGATCTTTCAGTCGGCTGACCAAACAATAAAAAATAGTAACGTTATTAAGTTGAAAACACAGACAATATTTAAACTTTAATAGGATAAAATTTGATCCTGATTTTCTGATCACAGTAATTTGAAAACACTAGCCAATAAACATATAACTATGAAAATCAAAAAATAGCTGCAAAATGCATTCCCAATTTAATATTCTAATACGTATTAATTTTTTTTGTGACCTTCAATGATTGTATTTATTCTTTGATTTACACTTAGTCATTCTTCCATTAATAGCACATTCTAATTCTGTAAATTTTTGATGGGATTAGAAGTGAATCTTTTTGCAAGGCATATTATAAATTTGGTAAAACGTAAATTTTGAAATTTTGTTTAAAATAATAATCAATATATCTAATTCTGCAAATATTCGTACGTATACGTATAAAATATTTTACGATTTCGATTAACCAATAATTTTTCAATGTCACAAGATAATCTACCATCCACATGCACAAATATGGGTCAGCTAAAGCACAAATTACATTATTGATATCTATATAACCTATTACCCTAACAACGTCAAAAAAGTAACTCTAAAACTCGCTTCGCGACTTTCTAATTTACCAGTAATGTTTTTGCAATATCACAAGATTGGTATGCACAAATATGTGCACGCGACTTTCTAATTTACGCGATGTAATTTACGTGATTTTTTGATATTTAAACGTTAACTTTTGATTTGTAATTTTTTTAAACTTTTGGTATCAAAGGTTATTATCATTATTTTCATTTTTCTTTACATATCTTTAGTTTATGATTATATCAAATGCCGGCTTATAAAAAAACCAAACGAAACATTTCTTCAAAGCTATGTTGACTTGGGAGTAATCTTAAGTTCATTTCGGCTTTGGGATTTGAATAGGGGAATCTTATTATTCGCCGAGATGGGTTTAATAATTTTTTCCTGTTGGACACCACTTTTTATTTGGTTTTTTTATTATGAGACAATAAGTACTGTTTATATTTTTTGTTAATTATTTTTACGAATTTACTAACATATATATATTTTTTTTATTTTATACTTTTATATGATTTCGGCATATGAGAAGGTCTTTCCTGTTTTTTTATATAATTTCGACATACGAGGGGGTCTTCCCTGTTCCTGGTGCTTCTTTTATTAAGACTTACAGACTTATAAATTATAAAATTAATATCAAATATAGTGCGTAGCAATAACGGTATTACTCATTTTAATATAGTATTTTTTTTAATCTTTTAAATTAAATAAAAAAAAAGAAAATTTATTTGTCTATTTGAAATATGTTTAATTTGCCGAATCTTTTAATATTATATATCGTATATGGTTAATAAATTTACAAGTTTTATCAGAAATATAATCTCGACGTTGTGTTCGTTTTAACATAGATAAATTAAAAAATAATTTAAGAACGTTTTATGTTAAATCTTTGAAAAACATTATTTTATTTACATACATGCTATGTTTTTTGCGGGCAACAAATTTTACTATGCTAATCAACTTCCGATCTCATATTCCTTTATATCGGAATATCTGAGATACTCCGATCCAAGTATTTTAGATAGTAACGCAAAATATATTTCAAATTCTCTCAACAGAAAAACCTCTGAAGCTTGCATTTTAAATCTTAAATTAGAGAACTTTGAATTGTAAAAATAAAATAAAATTTAATAATTTAAAAAAACTTTAATAATAAGAATCGTGTGATTTTCATATAGGCAAATGAGCACGGGTTGTTATATACGACAAAGGTTACATAAAACTCGTAGTCAATAAAGTAGCATATCACACGCACCCCATCGATACCGATAATAGTAATACTGTAATACGTGGATTGAAACTTAATTACCAGGTACGTATTGATAAATATATAAATACCATAGATTAAGAAAATTGTTAAGACAATTTTTAAAACAAAAAAAAAACTTATATTTTTAACAGCGAAATTTTTTACCGTTTCAAGAGAAGAACCAAAAGAAAGACTGCAAATTATGTCTCTTTACGGCGACTTACCTCCTCCTACACATTCAACTCCCAGTGCCGACAAAGAGGAAACCCAACAATCCGCTTTAGAAACGCAATCTACGAATTCGAAATCTTCAAAATCTGCTCTTCCAGGTACAAGCAGATATGGCAAACCAAAAAAAAATTTCAAAACTATAAACTTGGATCTGTTCAAACTATTATGATAGTATGTACAGAGTAATGAAATCCAACTCAAAATCAAATCACTCACCTGAATAACATTTTGGCACGAACGAAATACGTGTGCCGAAAATGGGTTTTATCAGTTGGTTGGACTCCAGGAACTTTACGTTTTATGCCTACTATTCAAAGAAAGCCTGTTATTCAAGCAAAGCCAAAACTTATTCCCAAGGCCTCTGTAACTTCTCCAAATCCTCCCTCCGTTTCGACCTCTTCAACCCAAAACAACGCTCCTACTTCTAATCTAAACAGTGTCATATCAACTCCTCCTCCTACAACTGTTGCTGCTACTACTACTGTCTCTACTGATAGCGAACCTATCGCCACGCCTAGTTCTACGTCAATTTCTTCTCCAAAACAATTTTTAGGTTCCGAAGACGTTAATGATTATAAATCCTATGTGAATAACCAACGCAGTCAACGTAGTGCCTTTGAAAAAGTATTTGATTTTTTGTTTTCATAATTATTATATTACAATTGTCTTTTATTTTTTCCGAGTTCATTCTCATATTACAATTTTTTCTTTACAGGGAAAAAAACAAGGAAAAGGTGTTAATAAAAGGCAGCAAGCTCCTTTAACATTAGAAGATGATTATGACCCTACACGTCCAAATGATTATGAAGAATATAAAGAATATGAAAAAAGACGTAAAGAAGCTGTTTATCATGAAGAACATTCCAGACGTAGATCAATGAGTCCTGAACCTAGGCAACGTTCACCACCTCGTAAGTTTATTTTATATTGTTTTATTGTTTTATATATTTTTATCTACATATAATAATTGTATATTTATTATTACTTTTTAAGGTTCATTCCCCCCTCCTCCGTCATTATATTCTGAAACTCAGCTATCAGTAGTTGAAACACCTGTTCAAGAAGCTCCTAGACCACGTACTCCACCTGCCAAGATCGATTTAGATATAACAGGTGAAGAGGCATTTTTACGAAGAGCTAGATTAAGTAATCGCGTTAGTGAGACAACCCAAAAGTATGTAATTTTGAAATTTTGTACTTCACTTTTTTATAAAAAATAATCATTTTTCACTTTTTTTCAGATCCCCCGAGCCAAAAGTTACATCTGGTCCATCTTCTGGTGAAGATTTTGCTCATCGAATACTTGCTAAATACGGTTGGCAGGAAGGTCAAGGTAATTTATTGATTTTTATTTCTTTATTTTGTATTGTTATACATTTACTTTATTTTTATTTTATTTTATTTTGTTATACATTACTTATTAATCTTCGGTTCTTTATAGGTCTAGGAAAAGATGAACAAGGTATTAATGAACCTTTGAAGGTCCAAAAAACGGACTATAGATCAGGAATCATCGTTAATACGTCCACTAACATACCGGGTAATTAAATTTTTATTTTTTAGTTTAAAATAGTTATTTCTTTGTAATCATAATATTCATCTAAAAATTTTAAATTTTTATTAAAGAAGCAAAATCTACGGCGAAAATTGACTCTGCTTCTTCAAATGTTGAAGTTCCTTCAAGAGTAATTTTATTGACAAACATGGTGAACTTATTTTATGATTAATTGTATTGAACTTGAAACTTATTATATTAGTAATCATTACTAATAATCTTTCATTTAAAGGTTGGTCCTGGTGAAGTGGATGATACTCTTCAAGAGGAAACGGCCGATGAATGCAATGAAAAATATGGTGCTGTAGAACGTTGCCTTATCTTTGAGGTCGGTATCTGTATGAACTTTTCTAGACAATTTATATACTTATATTTATTTCATTAATATTTTTGCCTTATTTAACAAATTTCTTATTTATCACGTTTCTTTGATCAGGTACCTAATGGCAAGTTGCCAGATGATCAAGCTGTAAGGATATTTGTGAAATTTGTAGCACAAGCTGCTGCAGTAAAGGCAAAGAAAGATCTTAATGGTCGTTTCTTTGGAGGTCGCTCTGTAACAGCCAAGTTTTTCGACGAATCAAGGTTTGACAAATACGATTTGGCTCCTTCTCCAGCAGAAATCCAAAAAGCCAAGCAAAAATAAGACTGTGATTCAACCCTTTTTTTTTGATCGATTACATTATTACGTACGTAATTTGAATTTGGAATTGACATTTTTACTTTACTTAGAATAATAACCAAAAAAAAACAATTATATATTTCCCATTTTTGATTAATAGTATCAAACTTAACCGGTCAAATTTATTAAATCAATGTTATAAATTATTAAAGTTTCATTTTCTAAAAATGATTTAGTGACTAAACTTGATTATTAAATAAATTGATCTATTAGGTCTAATAGTTATATCAGACATATATATATATAGTTAATAATTATAAAATGATAGTTTGTTATATTTTAAATAAACTTTGAATTATAAATATCAAGTTTTTTTTCGAATTCAAAGTGTTTAACGTAATTTATTGAAATAAAAACCCTTATATAAATTGATCCCTTATTTATTATGTATTTCCCATTGGTAAATTAATTAATTATTCGTGAGTAATTATACTGTAGCATTCTTTTTAAATTATAGAAGCAATTACTCCAGGTTAATAACCGTCTAAATTGATAAATATTAAATATACTCATGCAAAGAAATCTCTTGCGAGATTATATATTAATTAAAATTTTACTACTTGTTGTATTGTTACCCAAACCCTTAGATTGTAATTGAAATCATTATTTCATGATCAAGATTCTGAACAAGTCACAAGCATGATGCATAAACCAAAATTGACAACAAATAAATTTATTGGATTTTTGAAGAACATTTTGTCTATATTCAGTTTGTCCAAATAATTAAATAATTTAAAAAAAAAAAACTATAACTGATAAAATTATTTTATTAGGTTTAATAATATTGGTCCCAACTTCTGTTTCTCAAGCTACCATTTGTTTTTCTGCAATTGATAATATTTCAATTGCTTGATTTAATGTCAACCGATCATTCGACTAATTAATAAAAATATCCTAAGTTAAAAAAAAAAAAAAATTCAATTATGAATTCATTTCAATGGTTGTCATACATGGTTGTCATATTTCATCTAATGCTTCATCTAATGTTTTCATCTAAAGTTTCATCTAAATGATTCATAACAATATCCATCATATCCTTGTTTTGTTAAGTACGAACTTTCCAAAAATCAAGTTTTTTTTACATTCTTCTATCGTATTTTGATGAACTAATTCCCTTGTTACATTTCTCTCAGTCTGATACTATTTATATAATGTTTTAATATGTTTATTGTTTCTAATAAGATTATTAATATTATTTCTATTTTTCTTATTACGCGTCCTGACAAAAAAAAAGTAATATTCACCTATAAGAATTAGGAAACAAATTCGTAAATTGTTTAAGAGTTATATTACTTTCAAGTTCACTGTTAAGGATATGATTTGATACAAAGAAAAATTGTAATTTGTTTAGTAGCATAGCGGTGGCAGAAAAATTGGACAATCACGTGCCAGACGATCATTTCCGTTAGTTATTCTGTTTTTGTTTTAAGTATTTAAAAGCTTAAGAAAAATATTTAAAAGCTAAAGACAAAAAACTATAATGATATAAACTAACTATATATTTTCGTACAATTTTTAATACTGATAAAAATGTAAACAAATATAAAGAATGTCTAAGTTGAGACGTATATAAAGCGTTAAAACATATATTACAATGACAATCGTAGTTAGGGAAATTGTGTAAGGCACTTCGCAGAAACATTTAATGTGTATTGGTATATTCTTTTAAACCTTACTAGTTGATTGGCTAAATTACATGTGACAATACGTGAACATCTAATTGGCATAGATCTTTTTGTTAATCATACTGTCATATGAACAATGTAATTACGTCAGATCAATAATAATCAAAACAATACAAAAATGATATATCTTTTGTTATTTTTTTTTTACACTTTTCTGGCGGGTTTATTAGTGAAAATTACATCTGGTTTATGGTACAGTAACTGAATAGTTGCTTAATGATTGTGTGCATCTATTCACGACTTTTTAACTGGAGATTGAAGACAATAGAAGCATTTCGGGCCACAACTCGTGACATTTACTAGTTGGGTATTGAAACCTACGGTGGACAGCTTGTTGTGAACGTTTATTTCTTCTTTCAATGGTTTTAAGTGTTACTATTGCAGTTAGTATTTTGGTTTCATGTTCGCAGGACCGACTAATTAAGGTAATTACTTCTTAAGAGGGTCGGGTAGACTGGAATCGAGTATTTATCGTTGTGGGTAGTGTACGGGTGCATAAAATCAAGCAACTGGAAGCTCTTCACGGCCACAGTTACTGTGAACGTCCTTGTTTGGTTTTTCAATTATTATACAATTTTATTTAAATTTTTTTTTTTTTATTCTGGTATATAGGCCATATTACACAAGACGACGAAATAAAAAAAAAACACAAAAAGACGAAAAACGGCAAATACTCAAGACCGAAGAATTCAAATTAAGTTTAGTCAAGATTACAAATTTTAAAAATCATATTACGCAAGACGATGAAATAAAGAAAACGTAAAAAGACGAAAAACGGCAAATACTCAAGACCAAAGAATTCCTTTATAATAGTTATAGAGACTACTCATTTTTTACGCGGCATTCATTCATTCGCATTATTCATTCATTCAAATTAAGTTTAGTCAGGATTACAATTTTTATATAAAAAAAAATTTTTTTAAAAAAACTGATTGTTTTTCGTTAATATCAATTGATTTTCCTTAATATAATAGTAAATTCATGTATTTTAATAAATTTATAATCATTCAATAAAAAATGTAAAAAATAATTCGTCAAAAATTTATAAATGTTTAAAATAAATGAAAGTCTCAATTAATAAATCGAAATCATCGTTTATTACTTAAGCAATTATCGTAGAATCACGAAAAATTTCAATTTACTCATATTATATAGTTAATCGTTTTTTGTATAAAGAAATTGTTTTTAGATTATCGAATCAAATTTCGTACCAGTTTGAAAATGATTAATATAGAGCTCTGTGTAAGCGAAGAACATTAAAGGATGAAACAAATCACTTTCTACTAAAGAATATCTTTAATTGTAAAAAAAAAAAAAAAAGTCCACGAAACATCAAATGTAATTCTGATTCAAATAAACAATAAACTTTATTTTTAAAACACGCTTCAGTTATATATTCATTTGACAATGTAATGGACAAATGGCATAGCGAAAGTATTAGAGGTTCGATTTCCAGACTATTATATTCTAAGGTCCCATCTTGCACTTCATTGTTGGGACGTTCCTGAGGATATCCGACGATATTGACTTAATAACTTGCATAAGAAAAATAATGCTTATAGACGTATCAAATATTATATACAATTCAAGTGTTATGTGCTAATTGTTACGACACAAGTCAAGTGTTACTATACTTGCTGGCAAAATGGCAAAACCTGGACAAATGCAAAAAACAATTGCTGTTTATAAAAAATTTAATGAAAAAAATAACTTTAAAAATTTTCCAATATATTATATACAATTATAAGAATATATGATATAAATTTGAATAAAGATTATTTATAAAATTTGAGATGTGAATTTGGCCAGAGTTTGCGCGGACAAACTAATTTTATAATAGTTTGGGATTTTGCCAATAAGCATAAGTGTTACGGCACGTGCCAAATGTTACGACATATGTCAAGCACGCAAAATGCTACTGCATATGTAAGTTAAAACTTTTTAACGTATCGTTAATATTTCTAGATTTATAAGGCATCTGGCATTTTGTAAATCCATTTTATCAACTGTATTCAAATCATATCTCTGGATATTATAATCATCGAATAAATTTTAGGTCAAGAGTTCTTTGAAACTTTATTAAAAATATTAAAAATATTAAAAATTTCTTTATACAGAAAAACTCTGAATAAAATTTCAAATTAATCAGCTTTGAGCTTTTGGAACTTCAGTTGCTATTACATTATTAGCAGTCTTAGACGCTTTTTTGTTTTTTTTGGCAGTTTTTTTGTCATCCCTAGATTCACCAGCAAATTTTTTACTAAATTCTTCTGCCATTTTTTCATCAATCCTCTTGAATAGATATTCGGCTTTGCCGATTTGGTGACCAGCTTCAATATCCATTGTAAACGTATCAGGAATATTCCTCAGCGGTGCATTTAACTGACGGACAATGGACTCAGTGACGGATGGCATATATGGACTAAATAAGGCGGAAAGAAGATAAATCAAATTTATCGAAACTCCAATGACCGAAGCGCATTTCTCAGGATTGTTGGCAAACAAAGTGTTATCGAGTTTTGATTCCTGCAGATAACCATTCCCCTGTCGTGAAATCTCCATGGCTATTTCAAGACCTGCACGTAATTTTATATTTTCTAGTGCTTCAATATAATTTGTCAACAAATTATTGATATTCTTTATAAGTGTTTGTTCGGATTCGGAATCACAAGAGAAAGATGGAATAGTGCTATCATATTTGGCAGTGACAAACTTCATAACGCGATTGACAAAATTTCCAAGATTGGCCAATAATTCATTATTATTCCTGGTAATAAATTCTTTCCAAGTGAATATAGAATCACTTGTTTCAGGACGGCTTGAAATCAAATAATATCTCCACACAGAAACAGGTATTCCGGTATCCTTTGCATCGTCACCAAATACTCCAATATTGCGAGATTTGGAAAACTTCATATTTTCATAATTAAGATATTCTAAATTGTAACATATATATATATATATATATAATTATAACAAAAAATATATATATATTCAGAATATCAAGAAATTGTCAATTCTTACCAGTCGTGCTTATATGATGCAACAGAGTCCATTCTTCGTCCGTACCCAATAATGAACAAGGAAACATAACAGTATGGAAAGGAACATTGTCTTTCCCCATAAATTGATATAATTTGACCTGGTCCGGATTCTTCCACCATTTTTCCCATTCATTCGTGTAATTTGCCATTATAGATAGGTAGCTTAGCATATCAGAAGTAATGTAAACCAAATGTTGGTAACACTAAATTTGTAGAAATTAGGTATATAAGACTTACCCAATAGGTGCATCAAACCAAACATAAAACACTTTTCCTTTCATTTCTTCGAGTGGCACTGGAGTGCCCCAGTTAAGATCACGTGTAATACAACGAGGTTTTAACCCTTCTTTAAGCCAAGATTGAGTAATATTTTTGCTATTAGCTGACCATTTACCCTCAATACTAGTCTTTTCTATCCAATTTTCAAC